CTCTGCTCCTCCCCCTACTTGTGCTCTCTCTCTCTAATAAATAAATAAAATCTTTAAAAAAAAAAATTAAAAAAAAAATAATATATTCTTCATACTAAACCCTTATCAAATAAGGGATTATTGTGTCCCACTCTGTGGGTTGTCTTTTTACTCTCTTAATGCCATCCTTTTAATTTTTTCCCCGGTTATGAAATAAACACAGGCTTCCTCAGAGACCTTGAGAAGTACTGAAGAGTTCCAATTGTATGAAGAATTAGAAAAAGCACCTAAATTTCCAACTGAGAGTTAACTAATTTTATGTTTTGGCATATTAGTTTCTCATCACTTTTTATACTTACATTTACCTTATATTTTTGAATGACTCTGTATATATAGTTTTGTTCCCTTTTTTTACTTAACATATTATAGTCATTTTACTAGTCACTAAAACCTAGAAATGTAATTTTAATGGCTGCACATATTCTACCACAGATACACTGTAATTTACTTAACCATTCCCTACTGTTGAAGATATGTCACTTCCAATGTTTTTCTATTAATAATAATGCTGAAATTACTTCTGTCTGGATTTCTCATTTTCTTCCCATGTAACAGAATTCTAGAAGTTGAATTCCCAGGTTAAAGGGCTTGCTTAAAGCATAGTCTTCTGCTACTATGCCAATATCCCTGGGGAAGTCATCATGCCTTGGCCATCTTAACATGCACTAATGACTGTCACCTCGAGATACTCTCTTTTAACATAATTTCAGTTCAGACAATGGGATATCATCCCCAAAAGGGTCACTAAGGGATAGAGACGCGGGATGTGTTTATTGGAGATAAAGGCAGGGGAGGAAAGGTGAGAAAACAAGCAGAGAGGGACTGTTCTGGGTAGAGCTTGGGAGTAAGGATATGGAGCACATGGGGAAGAAAAGGAGACAGGAGAGTGAAGGCATGAAAAGACAGACTTAATCATGGCATCACTTAGTCTCAGGCTCTCCTAGTCCCTGCTTACATCTGTAAGTGCTCTGCTGGGTGTGCAGATTCCTGGACTAGGTGGGAAGGGCTGCTTGACCAGTGTGTGAGCTTTGGAGCTCCCAAGGGAATGTGAATCAGTGAATGTCATCTAACATCTTAGTGACTGAGACTTCCTACACAGCTGAGCGTTCCCTCACCTGGAAAGACTGGACACAAAGTGCCAAGAATTTTGTAATTAGATTTTTGCCTACTTACACCATTCAAAAGGGACTTGCAATCTGGAGTTAAGAACAGAAAATTCTCCTTGGAACAATTCGTTTGCGCAATTGAGTAAGTAATTTCATAGTTCCATCCAGCCACCACCTGAAACAGTTTTGGAGCAAATATTTACAAGGCAGTTTAAGCATCATTGAAAGCATTATGAGGCGCAGAGAATGTCGCCTGGCATATCGTAAGTGCTCAAAAATATGACCGATGATTATTACTAGGCAGAAGTCATTTCTGAATAAATAGCAAACACTTTATGACTCTCACTCTGTCCACACAACCCCCACACCCTGCACCCCCACACATCTAACAACAGAAAGCAATATACATGTGGAGTTATTCTAGTTCCCTAAGTAAGACCTAGCAGTATTTCCTCGCTAGGCAGCAGGAAGAAAAGCTTCCACTGAATTTGTGAAATTTCGAGCTTGCGTGGCCTTTACTGGTAGAGTGTCAGGTTCCCAGACTGCCAGGCAGGAAGATTTCTCCTGCTTCATCCTGGACTAGTTGCACCCTGATACAGCTGGATATGGACATAATTGAGCAGAACACAGGTCTCGCGTGAAAGCAAATCGGAAGGTCTATTAAAAGCTGGGCATGTTACTGAGCAGAGTGAGTCCTTCATAATTAGAGGCCGAAATACAAAGGACCTAGTCAACTGTCAGTAGAGGCTTAGTGAACTGAGGCAACGAAAAAGACCAGATTTACAAGTTTTTACTTTTTTTCCCCCCCCCGATGATATGGAACCTAGAATTTAGAGGATATCCAGAATTTTTAGGTATAACTTAATTTTTGGAGCCATGTTTGACTCATGATAGGTGGGTAATGATACAGTTTTCTTAAAGCCTTAAGGACAGAATAACTTTTCCATTTCACGGTCTCTGCAAAGAACACGGAATACCGACTACAGGTGCAAAATGAACAATTAAAGAACAAACCTGTCTGTGGGCCCTTTTCACTTCTCTAAGAGCAAAGAGGTGGGAATGATCCGTGTTGTTGTTAAAATGTTCAACGGCATGTCTTAGAACGGGTTCCAGGTCAGGGCTCGCAGTCGAGATGGGGTGCACACAGCCAAGGCAATCATACTGAGCTCTCACCACAGGGCCCTCGGCTTGACAAAGAGCAGGCAAAGGGGCAGCATTAATGAGTGAGACCTGCGTTTAGATACACTGCCCTAAATAAGTAAGATGATTTGGAAAGCCCTCATAAACTTTCCAGTAAATCCTAGTATGCATTAAAAAAAGAGGATGCAAGACTGCTCTCTAGCCAGAACAATAAACCTCTCATTCGCTTAGGAACATCTTACACACATACTAGTGTGCATAGTTATTTTAAATCTATTTAAAAGTAATTTTAAATTATAGAAGCAACATGGATTTATCCTCTTACGAAAAGTAAAACATTGGGGCGCCTGGGTGGCTCCATCAGTTAAGCGTCTCACTCTTGATTCGGCTCAGGTCATGATCTCAGGGTCGTGAGATGGAGCCCCGTGTCTGGCTCCACACTCAGCAGGGAGTCTGCTTGAGATCCTCTCTCTCCCTTTGCCCCTCCGTGTCCTCCGCCCCCCCACACACTCTCTCACACTCTCTAAATAAATAAATCTTTTTTGAAAAAGTAAAACATAATAGATAAATTATTATTATTATTTTTTTTTAGCACGAATTAAAGCTCCTCAAAGCCTGGTTCAGAGTATAATACATTTTGTATCAATTCAATCCAACCAACATGTTTTGCATCCGCTGTCACGCGCCAGGCGCTGAGCTAGGCTCCATGGGTACTCTAATTTGTTAGTAATGGTGCCTGGTGTGAAGCAGTTGGGCAAAAGTCAAGTGAGAGACAAAGAACTGCAGATGGATCATTTTAACATGATTTGGCCCCTCTGCCATTTTTGGAAAGGAGCCAATAAGGAGCCACTGCTCCATCCTTAGATCCCAAAGGAATTGTGTTTATTCAGCGTCTACAATACCAACTCTGCTATTTAGTAGTTGTGGGATCTTAGGCAAGATACCTAACTGTGGGGGGCCTCAGTTTCTTACCTGTAAAGCGGGGATATTAATGCCTACCTCCTAGAGTTGGGAGGATTAAGTAAGTTAATATATGTGAAGCACTTAGAACTGTGGTGGGCAGTAAATGCCCAGTAAATGTTAGCTCTTATCACTTGTACCCTGGTTAGCCTTACTAGATGATGACGATGGGACCTTCAGAAACATCTTCCAGTTGCAGTCTACACAACCCTCTGATGCAGAAATCGTTGTTATCCCTTATCCCCTTTTAGAGATAAGAGGAAAGCCGAGAAGATGAGGAATTTGGAAAGATTCCAGGCCAAGTCCGACCTCAAAGCCTGTGCTTTTCTCCCTCCCTCTTGGCCTACAGTTGAAGGCAGTTATCGTGTCTTCTGGTCCCTTCTCTGGGCGTCTGCACATGCCCGATACAATGCCACAGTCAGGAGGAGAGTCGGGATAGCGCGGAGGGGATGATTGGCCTGAGCTCGGCCCTGATCTAGGACTCTGCCGCTCCCCCACCCCACCCCCAAGGCATTGGCTGGTGCCACCTCGGGGACGGGGCCTTCCTCTAGGCTGTGCTCCTGACACCACAGAGAACAGGTTCCTTGTCCCCCAGGGCTACCTGGAGTGATCTGGCAGGTCTGCGTAGCCACGGAGAATTTCATATTCCCTCTCTTCCCCACCGTGGCGGAGCATTCTCCTGTGGCCTAGAAAGAAAAAAGAAAAAAAAAAAAAAGGAGAGAGAGACCATTTATCTTCACCTTTCAGATGGAGAAGTCCACCTAGTACTATGGCTCAATATAGCTTTTCCTTTTTTTTTTGAACTTGCCAAGATTTTTTTAAACAGAGTTTTGAGACGCAAGAATGAAAGTTTTTGTAGCCTCATGATTATTTTGGCAAGGCACTGATTTCACGAGACGTTGGGGGAGGGGCAGTAAAAAAGGCGAGGTGTTTTTTTTTGTTTGTTTGTTTTTTCAGGATTACGAACGAGGCAATTTATTGACCCAGCATTTGTTCTAATGCTTCTTGTTGGCAGCTGCCACCTGTCCAGCGATTCTGTCCAGATCTCTCTGTCCCTGAGGTGTCAGTTTGCGGCCCCCATCTTGGTCCTTTTCCACCATTTTCAGCCCCTCTAGGGCTTGGAGGACCCTGCGGGCCACGCTCTTGGAGCCTCTACTGAAGTGGCTGGGCATGACCCCGTTTCTCTGACGTCCCCCGTAGATCTTGGTCACGGAGCTGACCCCAGCACCGCCCCGGAGGTCCAGGCGCCATGCTGTGGAAGCAGCTCGTGTGTAGAACCAGTTTTCATCGTAGGGAGCAAGCTCTTTATGCTTGGCCAGCTTGACAGCGTCCACCCATTCAGGGACTTTCAGCTTCCCAGACTTTTTGAGGAAGGCTGCCAGAGCTCCGACGAACTCCTGCTGGTTCACGTCTTTTACAGTAACTCCAGGCATCGTGCGGCCTCCGCGCTGCCAGCCAGGGGAAAGGGCAAAACGGCGAGGTTTTAAAACAAGTTTCCTTTTCACCAAAATGGATGCAGTGCCTTAGAGCGAGCCTGCCAGGCTCTCCTCTTGATTTTCCTTTCAGTTTCGGTGTTGAAAGCGCGGGCAGGAGGCCAGTGCTGTGACACGCAGGCGTGGATCCCGGGACTGGGGAAAGAGCGGCTTCCATCGGGCCAGACGCCCCCCGCGCTCGCCCCTCATTAAGGCAAACAGCCAGCTGTGCTGGGCCAGGCACTTGCTAGGCATTTGGCTGAGGTAGGCATTGCCAGCAAAAGAAGGTTGTTTGTATACGTGTCTCATTTCATCCTGCAACAACCTGATGAGGTCAATGTTATCTCCCCTTGAAGAGGCAACACGGAGGGAGGTTCTGGGGTGTCAGCTGGGGGGAAGCGGAGCCTAGGCAATGAAAGCATCCATGCTGTCTCCTCAGCAGCCCTCGATCGTGGCCCAAATGTTGATCTCTTGTCTCTTTGGGACCCGGTCCCCTGCCCTAATTGGTCATTAGAGTCCCCGTCTCTTGAGAGGGCTTTCTCTATGTCTCACTGCTGGCCTCTTCGTGTTCTGACATAGAGAACGAGAACACGGACGCCGAGCCTTGGCTTTTCTACGCATTTGAGGGTTTATGCGCATCCCTTACAAAGAGGCCTAACAATACTAACCATCTCCAGCTCTGGTGACAGAATCTGACAGTCTCGACAGAGAACACTGGGGGCTCAGGAACCATCAACCCACTTACAGCTTGTGCAGATTCTTTGTAGTCACAGTCCTGCCAGGTTTTGCCACTTTGAACAGAACAATTTCCTTCCCTGATTTGGTACTTGAAGGAATAAAACGTGTCAGGGTCGTCCTGAAAAAAACAACCAGAGACATATAACTGACCCAAGAGCAAATAATTTGAGTGAGATCTAATGCAGATATGAGTATTTGATCTTGATTTAATTCAGTGAGACCGAAACATTTCTTAAAAATACTTAAAGTTGGGGCGCCTGGGTGGCTCAGTTGGTTAAGCGACTGCCTTCGGCTCAGGTCATGATCCCAGGGCCCTGGGATCGACCTCCGTGTTGGGCTTCCTGCTCAGCAGGGAGTCTGCTTCTCCCTCTCCCTCTGCTCCTCCCCCTACTTGTGCTCTCTCTCTCTCTCAAATAAATAAATAAAATCTTTTTAAAAAAATTAAGATACTGAAAGTTATAAAGAGTTACTTGGAAGAGTGTTCATAATATATTTATAAATACATATTTGTAAGTTACAAAGTGGTATCTATAGTATTAGCCCATTTTTGTAAAAACCAATTTATAGGTACATATATGATTCTTAAAAGTCTGGAAAGTTATGAAGCAAAGCTATTAAAATGTTTGTCTTTCGGTGGTGGGAGTACAGCTGCTCACTTCTTTAAACAAATGTTTGTGGGTTGTCTTTTTAAAAAATAAACATATTTATTTTACAGTGAGGAAACAAATAAGAGGCCACTTCTCATTTTCAAAAAAATGTTATCTCTGGATGGTGGATTAATTTTTGGTAATTTCAGTATTTTTATTTGCCTTATTTTTTCTAGCATGACATGAGATAATAAATAAAACTTTTAAAGTGCAAGGCACTTTAAATACCTAACTGTGAGACCTGAAAATATAAAACTCCTAGAAGAAAGCACAGGCAGTAATTTCTCTGACATTGGCCTTGGCAACATCTTTCTAGATGTGTCTTCCCAGGCAAGGGGAACAAAAGCAAAAATAAATGATTAAGACTACACCAAAATAAAAAGCTCTTGCACAGCAAAGAAAACCATCAACAAAATGAAAAGGCAACCTACTGAATTGGAGAAGGTGTCTGCAAATGATATATCTGATAAAGGGTTAGCATCCAAAATATATGAAGAACTTACACAACTCAACACCAAATAAAACAAATAATCCAATTAAAAAATGGGCAGAGGACCTGAATAGACATTTTTCCAAAGAAGACCTATAGATGGCCAACAGACACATGAAAAGATGCTCAACATCACTCATCATCAGGGAAATGCAATTCAAAACCACAATGATATATCACCTTACATCTGTCAGAATGACTAGAATCAAAAAGACAAGAAATAACAAGTGTTGGTGAGGACATGGAGAAAAAGGAACCCTCTTGCACTGTCAGTGGGAATGTAAACTGGTGCAGCCATCATGGAAAACAGTATGAAGCTTCCTTAAAAAGAATTAAAAATAGAAATACCATATGATCCAGCAATCCACTACTGTGTATTTACCCAAAGAAAACAAAAACACTAATGTGAAAAGATATATGCATCCATATGTTTACTGCAGCATTATTTACAGTAGCCAAGATATAGAAGCAACTCCAATGTCCATCAATAGATGAATGGATAAAGAATATGTGTGTGTATATATATATATGCCTTGATGTATACATATCTATATAATGGAATATTACACAGCCATACAAAAGAATGAGATCTTGCCATTTATGACAACATGGATGGACCTACAGCATATTACGCTAAGTAAAATAAATCAGACAGGAAAGACAAATACCATATCATTTCACTTATATGTGGAATCTAAAAAATGAGACAAATGGACAAACCAAAAGCAGAAATAGACCCCTAAATACAGAGAACAAACTGACGGTTGCCAGGGCAGAGGAGGGTGGGGATGGGTAAAATGGGTGAAGGGGAGAGGGAGTTACAGGCTTCCAGGTATGGAATGAGTAAGTCACGGGGCTGAAAGACACAGCCTAGGGAATATAGGCAATGATACCGTCATAACGTTGTATGGTGACAGAGGGGAGTTACGCTTGTAGTGAGCATCGTAAAGCATATAGAGTTGTCAAACCATTATGTTGTACACCTGAAACTAGTGTAACTCTGTGTGTCAACTACACTTCAATTAAAAAAAAGAAAGTGCAAAGGTGTTGAGTTAGGTGAGCTTTCCAAATGGGAAATCCTGGCATTCAAACAGCAAGGGACCAGAGAGGTGATGTTGTCCAGCCCATCACTTTGCAGGTGAAAGAAAGGAAGCCCCAAGTAGACGGGCAGGGCTGAGGCAGCCCGCACACCTTGAAAAGGCAGAACCGGCCCCGGATCCCAAGTCTCCTGACTCTCAGAGCCTGCTTGCATCACTTTATTTGCATCTGGGATGATTGAGTCAAACAACATGGTCCCCCAAGTTCCTTCCAGGTCTCCGATTTTGATAAAGAAGTAGGCAGAAGTGGTATAGATGGTGCCCATATGGCAAAGTAAAGCATGATTCCATGGACATTGTAGAACAAAAAAGCACATTTGTCATGGATGTCACCCAACGAAGAGAACACCAATCAACTGTTGCTTGAGAGGACCAGGACCAAATGTCTACATCATTACACTAGTTTGTGAAACAGAATGGCTCAATTTTACTTTCAGGAAAAAAAAAAATCATGTCCCGTGGGCTTTTTTCTTTATCCTGATCATGTCAAATGACCGGACTTTTCTCCTCTGCCAAAGTAAACAGTTACTTTACTATGATAGGCACAGAGTTTTATAGTGAAATTCATTTAAACAAACTATCGAAAGACTAGTATTTTTTGAAATCACACATACTGTCAGGATTTGTCTCCAACCTGTGTGCATCAATTAGTTATAAGAAATATTAAAAACCATCTAGAACGTCACTGTTACCCTTGATGCATTCAGCCATACGGACTGATCGACATTTTGTCTAATGCATGCTAATCTCATTTCTGCCTCCTCTTAGATGTAACTCTCCCTTCCCCCTAGCCTTCTCGAGGTATAATTGACAAATGAAAATTGCATATGTCAAAAGTTTGCAATGTGATGAGATATATACATATATACACATACATTGTGAAGTGATTGTCACAAACAAGCTGATTAACACATCCATCGCCCAATATAGTTACCTTCTGTGGGTGTGTATGTGTGGTGAGAACACTTAAAATCTAGTCTCATAGCAAATTTCAAGTATACACTACAGTATTATTAACTATAGTCACCATGCTGCATCTTAGATCCCGAGGACCTGCTCGTCTTATAACTGGAAGTTTGTACCCTGTGACCAGCACCCTCCGTTTCCCCCAGCCTGAGCCCCTGGCAACCACCATTCTACTTTCTGCTTCGGTGAGTTAGACATTTTTTTAGATTCCACATACAAGTGAGATCACGCAGTATTTGTTAGACATAAGCATTCCCTCCCCACCTGTGGTCTGGAGGTCTTCATATTTTCTAATGGGTGACCAGCCTAAGGACTGGTCACCCAGTAAGTCCTTTTGTTGCGGTCCCATTGAGTTCCTGGATTCTCCCACTCTGAATAGTTTCTTTCAAATGATTCCATCTACCTTTGTCTCATTACACCCTGCCTTCCTGATCACCCAGGAAGCCAAGCTTGGCCGCCTGAGGGCTAGTCATACCCTGCCCTGCACCCCCGGGGCCAAAGAGTGGTGTTGATCTTTTCTCAGAGCTGTAAGTTTCTACCTTTGCTTCTCGGTTCTTTGGTGATTGTTGTTGTTGGTGGTGGTGGTGGTGTTGGTGTGTGTGTGTGTGTGTGTGGTGGGGGAGGGGCTGGGATCCGAGTGACAGCACACATCTCAAATGGCCTCAAGGTAAGACACAGCTCACTCACCGTCCTGACGACCTCAGTTACACGGTACAACACAAACTGGTTGCCGCTTTGGTTTCTACTATTATATTTCTTCAGCGCAGTGTCCACCGCCTTAAATAAGTCCTCGTCATCACAGTCGATTTCTTGTGAGGACTCCTGGGTTAAACTTGGTAGCAGCCTGGAGCAGACAAAAAGCAAGGCAAGTAATTTCATGATTTAGCAGTCTCCCTCCAGAAGCCGAGGGATGGTTTCACCAAGAATCGGGCGCCAACTTGGATGCCGATTTTAGCTATTCCCAGCCTTTTATTTCTGTGTGTGCGTCTTTCTGCCTCAGCGCTCCCAAATCTGGTGGATTCCTGCCCGCCATACGCAATTCACCCTATTTCCAAAGGACAAATGGCTCTGTTGGGTTATCCAAGCAGATTTCAGGCTGAAACATTACAACACTGGGGTTGTTAACCTGCTTGTTTGCTTTCAGGAAGCACGTGGGAGCACAGAGCACATTTCCAGGTGATTGCACAATGTTGTATAACAAATCAGAACAGAAACTATTAAAGGAGGAAAAAAACACCAATCACCTGTTATTCCCTTTCCCAAATGACTTTCCCAAAGCCCTTTATGAAGGTCACTACATGGGACAACAATGTGACAATGAGTACAATGTACAGATACCTTTTAATCATTTCTTTGCAAGATATCTAGCTGCAGAAAAGCAGGCTGCTACCAATCACGTTGCACGCCTGGGGAGCCCATGCATAGGGACATAGTGCATGCCGGGAGTCCCACACCAGGACGCCGGTGCAACTAAAAGTAAAATATGGGCATCCTCTCTGGTCTCTGGTCAAGTCAGCCTCTCTCCACTCAATTGTATTGGTTCTAGAAAGGAAAATGCTCCCCAGGGTGGAGGAGACAGGAGACAAGCATAAGAAGAGATGTGTTGAGTGAAGCCCTGTGTCCCCCATCCTTGCATCTTGTTTCTGGTGTGGTGGATTTGGGTGTCTACTCACCAAACCTAAGGAACCTTTCTGATAAACCCCAAGATCTGATTCCAACTCCTCCTGCACTGTGCGCTGTTAGACATCTCCTCTCTCTTCCAGTTTCACCTTCTGCCTCTTTGTGGGCCCCTCCTTTTTCCCAGCCTAACAACCAACTTACCCACATCTCTTTTAGCCTTAGTTTTTTTTTCTTTCCCCTATAACCTCCCCCCCGCCCCCGGCCCAGACACACACATACACACACACACACACACACACACGCACATGAATCTACCTTCTGCCGTCACTATGTACCTGCAACTGCTTCCAGTAAGTCAGGTAGCAAGCCCAAAGCTTTATTAGCCTACATCTAAATGCTTGAGCCCTGACTTGGGAAGAAGGGAAAAGAAAGAGTATTTGATTGTGGAGAAAGAGTCCTCTTGGACCAAAACTGAATAAAGAGAAGTTACCTGAGACTAGAGCACCCCTGGCCTGGGGGGCAAGATATGAGAAGAACGATGTCTCTGGGTGTCCTGAAGCACAGAACACCTCTGCCCTGCTTTCTGGGCATGTAGCCTGGAAGGCAGCAAGATCTCAGGGAGAATAGCCCAGGGCAGATATGTTCACTAGCAGTCTTGCAGAGACTCTTATACCTTCAGGTTGATACAGAGGTAGCTGATAAACTAAACCCAAAGAGGGAGGTGTACAGGGTAGTAAGTATCCCTCAGCAGGAGGGAACCTAGTGGACCAAAGATGAAGACTCAGACCTCCTTCTCATGCCCACCACCCAAACACCTTGGCACCACATGAAATTCTATAACTGTGGCACAACTTTGTGTGGGGAGTAGCAGGGTGAAGGAACTCAAAGAAGGACGGAGGTTAAGTCTTCTATTAACCGACTAGGATGGCAGCCTGAAATGGAAATTAATTTGTTCTGAAAATAAAGTGATATTTCTTGTGCACCTGAATTTATGGTCATGATTTGTACCTGCAACGTTCTTTGCAATTCATTGCCCAAGCCTTGATTGCATCATAATTGAATTTAGAACTTATTTCTTTCCAAAGGGAAATTTAGAGGACTAGAAATAACAAGTAGGAGGGAATTTGAATTTTAGATTAGAAGAATAATCCCTTGACTGATAAAACATACCTTCTTGGTATGCCCAACTACAGCGTAAGTACTCAGTGAGGAAAGACCCTAGAATTAAAGGAGTTAAGTCCAGGAAAGAAAGAGGATCAGAGATTTGCTGCAAGGATTTAGTGGTCAGTGACTGACTTGTAGCACTGACATCTTTCCTCTCCTTTCCATTTGTCTCTCTCTTCTCATGCCATCTCCTCCCCCACCCACATTTGCCCTACCCTGAATATGGAAGTAAGATAAAAATACATGAATTTTGTATTCATTATTGATCATATTTTATTTATGGTTTAAGTCAGAATATTAAAATTTTACCCCATCGAGGAAATCAGATTTTATTTTGGAAGCAAGTATGCAAAAAACTTCAAGACATGTGAAAACTCACTCTTAAATGTCCCTGGGCATGATTCAGAAACTGATTGAGGGAAGGGCTGAATTTCTGGCTTTAGAGGATTGTTGTCGCCTGGCAATGAGAAGCTGGGAAAATTGGCTTCGGGAAAAGGAAGAACTTCACCTTCCTTTAGTGGAGGGAGCTGGTAAACATATCCGATTTGTCTCCAGTGGAAGCGAAAGGGTCTTTTACCTGGACCTCTTACTTTTGAGTGCCTAGATGGTGGGCCATGTGCCCGGCGACCCTGGCTATGGGGTGGTGAGTCACAAGGCCCATGGTCAAGGAAATCGTGGCCATGGGGATGGTGTCCGTGGGGATGGTGTCCACGGGGATGATGCCTATGGGGATGGTGGCCATGGGGATGGTGGCCATGGGGATGGTGGCCATGGTGATGATGCCCGTGAGGAGGGGGTCCATGAGGAGGGGGCCCGTGAGAAGGGGGCCCGTGAGGAGGGGGTTCTTGAGGAGGGGGTCCATGATGAGGGAATCCATGATGAGGGGGTCTATGGGGGTGGTGCTCACTGGAACTATGATTATGAGGGTGTCCATGGGTCCCACTGGTGCCAAAATGGGGGTGATGACATCTTGACCCTGGAGGGGGCAATACAGGAGGAGCTCCTGCCTGAAATGGTGGTCTGTCTTCTAGAAGAGGTGGGCATTCAAATTTATGTGGTTTGTGGGGATGATGGTGATCTCTAAATTCATCAGGCTTAAATGGAGGCTTGCCAGCAAGAGAATGCTCATGCCTACCAGAGCGGTGGGGATGGCCAAAAGGGTGTGGTACACCACTGATGTTTCTACATTCCTGGTAAAGGATACAGAAAAGTGAGTATTATTATATAACACAAAAGAAGTTAGATGTGCAACTCAATTTAGACCAATGGCTTCCAGACTTTTGGATTCTACAAATCAATTTTAAAAATAGGATAGCAAAAAAGGGCTCTCAAACTTTTACCCAGCCAAATTGACATTTAAAATGCAAACAGTGGGGCGCCTGGGTGGCTCAGTCAGTTAAGCGTCTGGTCATTGTTTCGGCTCATGTCATGATCTCAGGGTTGTGAGATTAAGCCCTGCATCAGTCTCCACACTCAGCAGGGCATCTGTTTAGTATTCTCTCTCTTCCTCTCCTTCTGCACTTGCCCTGCTTGCGTGTGCTCTCTCTTTAAATAAATAAATCTTAAAAAATAAAATTAAATACAAAAACTATCATCTGCCACCATCATTATTTCACAATCGGAACACTATTTTGATAATACAAGAGTCAGAAAGATATCTCAGAGTAAAGCGTGGTTCTTTAGATGCAATAAAGGTTGTATTATGAAAAACTTTACTTATCCCTACTTTTCTCATTTCAACATAAAATGGTGAAATTATATTGTAGAATGGACTTATCTGTAGGCCAACATTTGGAAAACTAGTGCCTTATAATGTATATCTTCAACAGAGTTCTGAGGCTTTATGGTATAATCATCTCTTACTCCTAAAGGATGAGCACTTCATCTCTTCACTCTCCTTCTTGTTCAGATTTTAATTAAAAAAAAAAATCTGTGGAGCCATGTTCATGGTGATAAACCTGCCTTGCCCCTCCCCGTCTTTGTTTTATGGTTT